ATATGAACATATAAACAAATAAGGAAAAGTAAAAAAAAAAAAAAAAAAAAAAAAAATTTCTTATCACAATGGAACTTTATGATTAACGATGTCAGTCGGAGGGAGTTCTGTGCCTCCTCTCATGTTGCAAGTTGTCGTAGGCAGATGATTGTCAGGGCCTCACTGTATTGCCCACATGGAGGTACGTAATTTAATTTATGCTCTTATACCTTTAGTTGATTTTTTTGCTAAAGTTATTTTAAGAAAATGTGAAGAAAATGCCTTAAACTTGCATTAAAGGTAAAATAGTCTTTTCACTCAAAATTAGTTGAAAAAGTGGGGAGTGAAAAGAGGTAGAATTTCATGGAGAATGTATTAAAAATGAGGGCATTATGGTAATTGACTAAAGGACATAGATGAAATTTTAAAGAAAGTGCAAGGGCAAAATGGGAAAGTATGCATATTAATATGAGATATTAAGAGTTCAAGCAAAAAGACCCTATCATTCTCTGCTCCCTCTCACGCCGCTTCACTCTCAATTTCTCACATCTCTTCATCAAATTTCCAAGGGATTTTGGTTGGATTTTGGTAGAGATTTGATCCTAAGCACCCAAAGGGTTTTAGAGAAAGAACAAGTCTACCAAAGAAAGAGATATTCTAGTGGAATTACTCAAGTACAAGGTAAGTAAATCCTACCCTAAGTATGATTTAAGTTATGTTGTGTAGAGAACTTTCTTTATGCATATATATGTATTATATGTAAAATTGTTGATGGATTTGGTGTTGAATAATGATTAGAACCTATCCATGAGAAGTTGTGTTGGTGTAGTTGTTATTTGATGAATGTTTGGATGAGATTTGGAAGAATTGAAGTGAAAATTTTGAAGTGTGTATTTTGGGCAAATTTGGTGTTAATTATGGAGGAGTTTATTCCAAATTTTTGGTGGCCTAAAATAGGGATAGAAGTGTAGCCAAATTAGTGTTAATTTGTGCACATGAATTGTTTGATGAAATGCCAAAGAGAAGTGCATGTATGAGAATGATTATGTGTTACTTTGGGATGAGTTTGTAGATTGTAGAGAATGACATGTTTGCATTCCATAATGCATAATTGCATTTAAATATGTGAATTTAGAAAGAATTATAAGCATGAAACCATCAACATGCATACATATTCATAAGAGCATGAAAAAGCCCTAAAATATGTTAAAAAGAAAATAGAAAGAAGTGAGAATATTAAAGATATTCAAATTTGAATTTTTCTTTAAAGAAGTGTAAAAAAAAAAAAAGAAGAGAAGGTTGTTGCGATGGGGAGTCATGAGTGACATAGTCCCACATGCACGCCGCCTTCAGTGAGTGGCCTCAAAATTCAGAAAGAAGAATTGTAAAGTCCGTTAGAAGTGTGTGTGTATGAGGACTGTACCCAGAATTAGAGAATTCACTCACACGGCCAAGGCTTCAAATCCATGCCTCAACCGAGTCCGATCGGCAAGAATAGAAAGAAAGAATAGAAGGAAAGAATAGAAAAGAAAGAAAGAATAGTAAAGAAAGAAAGAATAGAAAGAAAGAAAAGAAAGAATGGAAAGAAAGACTAGAAAATAAATAAATAAATAAAGAAAAAGAAAAAGAAAACAGAATAAGAAAAATAGAAAAGAAAATGCATAATTTATGCATTTGTGCATTTGCATCATGAATATGCATAATACCATGCTCATTATCATGGGCAGTGAAAAAATTAGAAAACAGAGAAAGAATAAGAAAGAACAAAGAAAGAACAGAGAATACTCGGGAAATGAGTTGTAAGGAAAGAAAATTCAGGATTTAAGCAACGGAGAGAGAAGGGTAGCATAACGGGTTTACTTACTGAGCCATTAGTGCTCACTCCGTTGTTTTTAATGTTTTGCAGGTAATAGGTGAGTTGCGATCGCTCGGAACGTCACGCAGTGGAAGGGTTGGGCTACATTGTCAAGTTGCTATTTTTGAGAACATTTTGTAAATATTTGTATATAAAGAAAAATTAAATATGGGTCCATACTTTATTACTCGTATATATATGTGTATTTTCTTATATATATTTTTAATAAGTTTTAGTGATTATTTTACGAGTATACTAGCTAGAAAGAAAGCATTACACTCATAGTGGGCGCCAAACTTTAGATGCAAAAAATCTACCTTTACGGAAATAAGGTCTAATCCCGTGAGGTTGAGGCCACCAGCAATCCGCTACACCTGCACATGCGAGGAAACAAGCTTGAAATTTAGGGAAAGAAAGATTACCAGAAGTCTTGTTGGAGGTTAGGGCCACAGCGAAGGTGTAGAATTCTCAAGAGCCATAATTTAGGAGTAAGGAGAGGTCATTTTGAGTAGTCAAGATTGATTATTGGAGATCGATCCCCTTATGAGAGGGCATGCCTCTGTTTATATATTAAATTCTAGTAGGACACTGAGTCCTATTTTGGGAGATAATCCCTATCAGGAAAGAAATAGGATTTCTTGCCTTTATCAGATTAATTTTACTAGTTTGAGTAAGATTCAGAATCTCAGCAAAAGAGGAAATAGAATAAGATTATGATTTCCTATTTATGGAATGTTGTAAGCTAATGGGCCGGAACCCAGTTTAGCTTAACTTGTAGGATAGCCCAACTCATAGAGTAGGCAGTTCACAAGGTGACTTTAAGCGTAGGCCCAATCGGAATTGGACTAAGGCCTGGGGCCGTGACATGTTTATTTCGTTATTAGGCCTCGTCAGGCCCAAGACGATTTTTTGCCCATACACCATTCATATTTCTCTTTTATCATATCTACTAATAATTGAGATGTTCCATTAGGATTTGGAGGATTGAGTGTCTTTGGAAATACTAAATCCTCAAACACCTTCTCTTCTTTCAATTTTCCTTCAATAAACTCCATTATGTCTCTCTTTGCACACCATGCATCCATCCTTTATATATGTATTTCATAATCAATATATCATATTTTTAACGAGATACCATATTCCAAATTTATCACTCAGATGACAACTTTCACACTTTATATTAAATAGTCCTTCGAAGTTTGAAAATTGTATCATTAATACCTTTATATCCTAACTTTGTTATGTTGTCATTAATTTGTTGTATATGAGTGAAATGGTACGTAACTTTGGTTTTATAAGAAAGTATTGGGATAAAATGATAATGGTTAGTCTTATAAGAAAGCGTTTTGTAAGCCTAACGACAATGTAACGGAGTTAGGGCAAATGGATGTTTGTGAGAAAGTTTATAAATTTTAAGAGTTCATTTCATAAGGAAAATGAGTATTAGTGATAATTTTTCAAGCTTTGAGGTCCATTTGATAAAAAAGTTATGAAATTTATCATCCCAGTGATAAATTCAGAAACTTTATGGATATTCCATGATATTCTCCTCATTTTTAATTGAAGGAAAATAAAGTATGCTTTTAACACGACCAGCTCAAGGGGCAGGCAGGTGAGCCACATGCCTACGGCCCCACAAAAATAGGGTCAAAAAGGGCCCAATTTTTCTACAAATTTTTTTTTTTTGCATATATTACAAAAATGAAAATAGCGTATAATTTCTTATCTTGGTCGGCCCAAGGGGCCCAAAAAAAAAAAAAAAAGCAAAAAAAGCCCAAATTTATTATAAACTTTTTACATATATTCCTACCCAAAGTTTAACGAAATAGCAAGTTTGTACCTCTAGTTTCATATATTCCAATTTACACCCCTAAATTAACACATTGAATTTCTTTTAACAATGAAAGGCTAAAATGGTCGTTTAAATGCCTCAAATTACTCACCCCCAATTCAATCCCAAAATTTGACATTCACATAAATCATCTCCGCCCCTCTTTCGCCACTAGCCATTTGGAGCTGATTCCCGTCGATTTTGGTGAGAAAATCGACCAAAATCATCACTTTGGTTAGGAAACGATCAAGTCATGGCAGCAGAAAACAAAAATTATTCACAACATGGATCGTTCCTTAGAACCAAGATCATGGCACAAATTTACAGTTTATACATTATATTAGAATCTGTAGAAAAAATCAGTTTAGAGTTAAGAAATCATACGCACGTTTGGAGGCTCCTCCAACTTGTCTTTGAACGGGTTTCGCTACCGATCCAAGGGTAGGATCGAACCAACGGTAGTCCACACGAAGATAATCCCAAGGAACTAAAGAGAGATTTGACAGATCCTTTTTAGCCTTAAGAACTAAGAACAAAATCAATAATATTTTGATTCAACACAAAAGCAATCTGGCGTGGGAAGAGAGAAAAAAGGGGCTAGAATTTTTAATCTTAATGATTGAATGAAATGTTATCTTGAATTCACAAAGTGTTGCACTTATATAGTGTGCACAATGCCATATTCTGTAATAACTGCTTTCTACTAGTATACTTTAGAACATATACAATAAAAACATATATAATTAGTATATGAAAATAGTTGGGCCCAAATTTTTCTTTACTTACAAAACATAAGTCTTTACATATATCAAAATAACGAGTACAAAAACTTAGCGACAGTGGACAATAATGCCAATCCTCCTCGCTTGTCGACGTCCTTCCGACCGCTGCTCACCTATTTCCTGCAAAAATATGGAAAAACAACGGGGTGAGCATAAAAATGCTCAGTAAGTAAATTCCTTAACTCTTCTCCTTCTTAGGTTCTTTCCTTACTTAATTCCTTCTCTTTTCTTTNATATATATTGTAAAATAAGTGCATAATAGTAGTTTTATTTGCACAAATGTGTTAGAATTATAAGGATGTATTAACCATGTCCATGTCATTTATAAATTATTTGAGCTTCAAAATATCTCATTACTCGGGGGTTTCTCAATTTCTATTGAATTTTTTAGACATTTAATTCTAATATCATTTAAAACTTTCAACAAAATTTGCCAACATCAAAAGGGTCATTTTGGACATAAAATAGAAATATATTCCCGCCAAAACCAACTAACTCGACTCCCTATATAAATCTCTGCAAATTTCATCCTTTACCTCAAAATCATCCTTCAATGGCGATCAAGATTCTGACTCTCCTCACTCTCTTCACCTTCCTCTTCTTCTCAACATCCGTAACTTCCATCTCCACCCACGACCTCGACGCCCTCCTCACTCTCCTCCGCGCCAATGGTCACTCTCTCTTCGCCAACGCCATCTCCACCTCCGACCTCCTCTTCGACCTCCTCTCTCTTCCTTCTTTAACTCTTCTTGCCCCTACTAACCCTTCCCTTTTTGCCCTCGATATGACACAGACGCCGTCGTTTTATCTCTCCACTCTCCGCCTCCACGCCCTCCCTCGCCGCCTCTCTTGGTCCAGTTTCCTTCTTCTCCCCAACGGCTCGTCCCTCCCCACGCTCTTGCCCTCGCGTCAGTTACGTCTCAACCGACGCGATGGAGCCAATGTTGTTCTTGTTGTTTCTACCATCGGCGGTGGCGCCGTTCAGCTTGTCATGCCGGGGTTGTTCTACAGCAGCCACGTGGCTGTTCATGGCTTGGCCGGGATTCTCACATTTCGCTTCAAGACCGGCGGCGGCGGCGAGGGTGGTGGTTCAGGTTCTCACCCGAACCGTACAGTTTTCTTACCTCCGGTTACAAGATTTCCGTTTACTCCGCCAAGAATTCCAGAGATTTTGCCGGCTAACCGTACCAATAACCATTCCTCTCCTGTTAACTGCACCGTTCTTTCTTCTCTGGTACCGACAGATCATGTCTCTCCGGTTAACCGCACCGTTGTTTCTCCCCCGGTGCCAACAGACATCAGTAACCACACATATCATGTCTCTCCGGTTCTTAAGCACACCGTTGTTTCTCCTAGAGTTAATCATTCCACGGTCTCTCCATGGCCGAATCCTTCAGATTCCTCTCCAGCTCCGGTACCAGGTCTTGATGCTAACGGTGCGCCGAAATTGCGGAAAAATGGTGATGTGGCGACAGGAATTTCAAGTGAATTTGTAGTGTCCCCGGGAGGAGTGGAGAACCAGACAGAGTGGTAAAGTGAGGATGTTGTACGTGGAGAAATGTGAGGCGTTGGATGAAGTGTGATGATGATTGTGTGATTTGCAATGTTATGATATTGGCGTGAAATCAAGTGATCGTTTTTGTTGACTTGAATGAAATATTCAACTTTGGCAATTTTATTTGCATAATTTGCTTTTGCCACTTCCTTATTCTATTGATTGATTTGTCATTTTTATTGTAATTTATTTTTGCAGTTAATTTTAGATGGCAAAAACGGCAGATCATGGTACCATACTTTGAACCAAAACTTACACTATTTGATTTATTTTTGTATAAAAATAATTATCGAGAAAAGTAAGAATTGTATAATACAGTAATTTTGGGATATAATTTTTAATTTCATAAACTAATATTTAATTTGTAAACTTTAGGCTTAGTAACATAATCTTACCAATTGTAAGTAATCACAAAAAAACTAAATTCATGTTTGGGAAAATTTTGATGTAATTACGCGATTTGTTTGATCCCAAACATGACCTTCAATTTTAAGTAACAAAAGTAAAAAATTTTACCTTATGGCCTGTTATACCAAACTTGATTGGTCTCAGAAAAATTCGTAAGACCCCTGCTAGGATTTACACAGTAGAAACTAATATTTCTTACTTCTCATTCACAAAAGTTGTAACTTGTACCAATCTTTTCCTAGGTACTCACTTGTCAGCCTGAATTAGAGATTAATCAGCATCAAATCCTCCATCAAACGCATCACCATCTCCGTCTCCATAGTCATTATCATCCGCTTGCCCTCGTTCAGCGTCTCCCGGATTACTAAAGAGCGCATTAGTTTCATTATCGTGTTGCCTATCAACATCCATCGGTTGCGCTCCCCTATCTTCTACCTTCGGCTTTTGCTTCATAGACTCCAAATTTTCATCACTGAAAATCGAAATATATGGCTTCGAGACCTGTAAGAGCAACTTTTTTAGTCAAGACTACAGTTAATGTTATTTTCCTTCAGCATGAATAAGATGGACTTAGGTCCAATAGAACGATGAAATAATTAAGGCAAAGTTCATGTTAATTAAGAACATGTCAGTAACCATTAAATCTGATATTGTGATTACTTGCACTAGATGAAAATGACAGCCAAGAACACTACACTATTCACCTTAAATAGATTGTCTCGCTTTTCAGCACTCATCACTAGGTTCTTCCAGTGCTCATCATGCTTCAGCGTCGATGCAGAACCTACCACCTGAAGAAGCAACCGAAGGTTTGCTAATCAGAAAAGGTTAACTTCATGATTTGTCAAAATGCCATTTCGAAATACTTTCTCTTTGTTTGCTATAAAGCCATACCAGTATAGAAGACTTTGCTCTGGTAATCCCAACATTCATCCGACGAAAATCTGACACAAATCCTATGCTTTTATTTTCATTTGCCCTAACACATGAAAAGATTGCTACGTCTTTCTCCCGTCCCTGAGAAAAGGTAAAAGAAGTTTAAATGCTTAGCCAAACTGAGATATCTGTATAAAATTGCACAATCAGTAAATGATATCCTTAAAAAATTAGCCCCAGTGACAGGCTATGATTCATGGTTTTTGTGATAAAAAGGGCGGGATGGGGTGAACCAAATCTCTGACGTTTTAGGAGGTAGATAAACTTCCAAAATAGTAAATTACTATTATTTATATGAATATTTGAAACTTTTAATATGTATTTCTTTCCAACATTCTTTTAATATGTATTTCTTTCCAACATACCAGCAACACAGAGGTCTTAAAACAAGCTGAATTGTATCAAATTCTTCCAGGTGGAAAAACATGCAATAATTTTGAAATCAAAGGCCATCTGTCTCACTCTCTCACGCACAAATAATTCACTTTTTTTAGTATGGTCAATAGTGACGCAGGAGCATCCAAGTTAAATTAGGAAAGGGTTTCAGTTTTAGTTAAACTAGGAAAGAATTTCAGTTATTTTGTCAGTTTTCCTTTTTATTTAGGATTTCTATTTAATAAGAAATTGGGGATAGTTTTCAGTCTAGAATTAAGATTTGTCCTAACTAGTATAAATAGGACAACATAGTCAATTTATTGTATCTTTTTGAATCTATGAAAAAAGGTGAATTTGAGTGGTCCCATTCTGCACAAAAGCTTTGAGTGTGAAAGTGTTGATGACTGAAGCCTAGTTTTTGCACTACCAGATTTTGAAAAGTTTTTTGTTGTTGAATGTGATGCTTCACATGTGGGAATTGAGCATTTCTAGCCAAGATGGAAAGCCTCTAGAGTTTTCAGTAGAAGTTGTCTGATTTCTAGGAGAGTTTTCAACTTATGACCTAGAGTTCTACGCTTTGGTAAGATCTATTCACCATTGGCAACGCTATTAGCTTACTGAGAGTTTGTGGTTTATTCTGACCATCAAGCTTTGAGGTATTACAATCTCAGAAAAAGCTTAATGATCGACATGTTAGGTGAGTTCTTTGCTCGATAATTTAATTTCTTGCTAAAGTATAGTCTGGATAGTCTAATGTCGTGTTGATGCCTTAAGTAGGCGATCTTTACTATTATCAGTTATGACACTCAAGTCACAAGTTTTGAGGAACTAAAGAATCAGTATGGTTCTGTCTTTATTTCTGCAAGATAATAGCTATTTGCAACGTTCCTCTCAAGCTGAAAAATATCATATGATTGCATGATGATTATTTGTTCAAAGGTAACAATTATGCATTCAGAAGGGTCTTTAAGGGCAAATAATTAGAGAACTTCATGGAAATGGTTTAGGAGGACATTTCAGTAGGATAAAACTTTCGTAGTGGTTGCTGACCGTTACTATTGGCAAAAAATGTGAAGAATTGGAGAAATTGCAAGAGATGCCCAACTTGTTTTTTTAGGCAAAATAAGTGCTCAAAACATAGGTTTATATACTCCTTTACAACCAGATGCACCTGATTCATTTGAGTATGGATTTTATTCTAGGACTTCCAAAGACAACAAAAAGATTTGATTCTATCGTGGTTGTGTAGATCATTTCTAAAAATGGCACACTCTATTCCATGTTCTAAAACCCTATGCAACCATATTGCTGAATTATTTCTTCGAAGGTTGTGAGACTACATGGTGTTCCAACTTCTATTTTTTCTGACAGAGACGTTAAAGTTTATGAGCATTTTTGGAGGACTTTATGGAGAAATTGGGATGAATTAAGTGTTTCTAGTACCTACCACCCCAAACAATGTCAATGAGTTGTAAATCGTATTTTGGGAAATCTACTAAGATGCCTTATTGGGAACAAAGCTAAGTCTTGGGATTTAGCATACCTCAAGTTGAATTTGCCTATAACAATTTTGTCAATAGGCAAAGAAGACACCTTTTGGGCTGCTTATGGGTTAAAGCCTCAACATGTGCTGGATTTGTTCCCTTTGCCACAAGAAGCCAGAGTAAGAGATGAAGGAAGCATTTGCTGATCACATTCAAAAATTCATGAAGATGTTAGAGCTGTCCTAAAAGCTGCAATGAAAGCATACTCTTTTTCTTGCCAATAGCATCGCCGTACGCAAGAATTTGAAAAGCTGATCAAGTTCTTGTGCATTTGAGACCAGAACAATTTCCAAAGGACTTACCACAAGCTAAATCTACGAAGTTTGGACCTTATAGGTTGAGGAAAATCAGTTCAAATGCCTACTTAATGAACTTCACCTAAGATGCAAATTAGTCATGTCTTTAATGTTTCAGACTTGTTTCCTTTTTATGGATTCATGGGTGTTCCATCTCTATTAAGCTCAAATTCAATAGCTGCCACTTGCAAATGCGATGTTATTGAAGAAGTGTTATATGTTAAGGAATTTTGATCTAGACGAGGCAACCCATATAGACGATTCTTGGTAAAGTGGCTTGGTAACCACAAGTGAAAGCACTTGGATTTTAAAAAGAGCTGAAACGAGTTGATCCAGCCTATTTGAGGAATATTTCAAGGCTTTCCTGTAAGTCGAGTTTTTTTCTAACCCGAGGAGAAGATGCAAAGGAGATCCAAGTTAAATTACGATTTTAGTTAAATTAGGAAAGAGTTTCAGATTTAGTTAACTAGGAAAGATTCAGTTTTTCTCAGTTTTGCTTTTTATTTCGGATTCTGTTGAGTTGAAGACATGAAACGGTGCTGTTTTGGCCATAAGTGGAGTGACGTCGTTTTGGGAGCTGCTGAATTAAATCTTGGCTGTTGATCAACTGCAGATCCAATGGCTGAAAACCAACAATCTGGTCAACACTATATAAAGGAACAAATTGGGAAAAAGCTGAAGGTTTTTCTTCTTCGTGAATTTTAGAGCAATTGCTGAAGGGTTTTTTTTTCTCTTGTTACATTCAATCTGTGTAATCTTGGTGAGTGAGTGTTTAGTTTTTCATTCAAGTGAGAGGGGTTTTACTCTCAAGTTAATAGGGAATCTGATTGTGTTCTCTAGGTAGGATTACGGGAAAGGTTGTGTTGTATTCTTGAGTGAGTGATCTTTGATCTGTGGTGTAAACTCTTGATTGTAATTGATTAGTGCATCGAGCTCCTCTGATTCCGGAGCTCAACGTGGACGTAGCCTACCCAATCTTGGATAGGTGAACCACGGTAATTCTGTGTGTATTGTTGTGGTTGTTTTATCTTGATTGTGTGTTAAAGATTAGGAAGATTTACATAACAGTTCGTTTATACGATATTGAGGATGCTCGACAATACGCTTTAGCAGCTAAAAAGCGAGTTTCCTGTTATGGTGCGAGAAAACCCGTATATAGAACCAATTGGCAAAACAATTTGGTACCTAGACGTGGGTATCAAATAGGCTAATGGGAGTGGAAAGAGACTGCTACAACTAATAACCAACAAGGGTGCAACCAATGTTGAAAGGAGTGATAAAGGGAAAAGTATTGTACCTTATGGGGGAAAAAATAATTTTGGTTCACTTATAGCTAAAGGAGGTAGCAATTCTCAGGTCTGATGTTTTACTTGTGGAGAGAAGGGACATACTTCATTTGCTTGTCCACAAAGGAGGGTGAATTTAGCTGAGTTTGAGGAAGAGTTAGAGTTAGAGCCAGTTTTTTATGAATATGATGAGGAGATAGAGGAAATTGATGTTCATGTGGCTCAAGGTGAGTCTTTGGTGGTACGAAAGGTGATGACGACAACGATAAAAGCTGAAGAGGAAGATTGGAGGAGGCATAACATTTTTCGTACATGTGTTGTTTGTGGAGGTAACGTTTGTGATCTTGTCATTGATGGAGGAAGCATCGAAAATATAATATCTAAGGAGGTTGTCGACAAATTAAATCTTCCTATAATAACACATCCTCATCCATACAAAGTGGGTTGGTTAAAGAAAGGGCACAAGATACTGATAACTTCTCAATGTTTGGTGAAATTCATCATGGGGGGTAACTTGGAAGATGAAGCTTTATGTGACATTGTACCAATGGATGTGGTGCATATTCTTGTTGGAAGACCTTGGTTGTTTGATCATGAAATGGATCATAAGACAAAGCCTAATACTTACTCATTCTACAAGGATAATAAGAGGTACACTTTGCATCCTCTCAAAGAAAAGGCAAAGCAATTGGCAACTAAGAGTTCTACAACCAGCAAAACAACTAGGTATTTGAGTGTCAAAAAGTTTAATGCTGAGCATGGTGAGATGGGGATCATGTATGCTTTAATATAAAAAATAAAAAATTTTGGAGAGTGACCAAGTTGGGTAATCACCCCAATATCCCATTGAAATCCGATAGTTATTGAAGGAATACGAAGAGGTAGTCAGTGAAGATGTGCCAAAAAGCTTACCACCTTTAAGAAGCATTCAACATGCTATTGATTTGGTACCGGGAGCATCTTTACCCAATCTGTTTGCATATAGAATGCCTCCTATGCAGTGAGCTGAGATAGAAAGACATGACAATGAGTTATTAGAGAAGGGTTTGGTGCATGAAAGTAAGAGTACTTGCGCTTGCCCAGCTTTATTAGCCCCGAAGAAAGACGGTTCATGGAGAATGTGTATGGATAGTCGTGCTATAAACAAGATTACAATCAAGTATCACTTCCCTATTCCTCAATTAGAAGATATGCTTGATCAACTAGCTGATTCCAAGGTGTTTTCCAAGATTGATTTGAAGAATGGGTATCACCAAATTAGAATGAGGTGCGGAGATGAATGGAAGACAGCCTTTAAGACACCAGATGGGTTATTTGAATGGTTGGTGATGCCATTTGGCCTTTCTAATGTGTCAAGCACATTCATGAGGGTTATGACGGAGGTACTTAAGCCTTTCTTGAATTCTTTCGTTGTAGTGTACTTTGATGACATTTTGATCTATAGTCGTACTAAGGAAGAGCATTTAAAACATTTGCGACAAGTTTTGGAAGTACTTCAAAGAGAACAGTTGTATGTAAACTTAAAAAAATGCAGCTTCCTACAGTTAGAAGTAGTAGTTCTTGGGTTCATTGTGTAGGCAAAATGTTAAAAACCAGATCCGAAAAAGGTTCGTGCAATTACTTAGTGGCCAGCTCCTCAATCCTTTAAAAGTTCAAAGTTTTCATGGTTTGACATCTTTTTATAAGAGGTTCATTCGGAATTTCAGTTCTATTATGAGTCCTATAACTGAATCTATGAAAAAAGGTGAATTTGAGTGGTCCCATTCTGCACAAAAAGCCTTTGAGTGAGTGAAAGTGTTGATGACTGAAGCACTAGTTTTTGCACTACCAGATTTTGAAAAGTTTTTTGTTGTTGAATGTGATGCTTCACATGTGGGAATTGGAGCAGTTCTTAGCCAAGATGGAAAGCCTCTAGAGTTTTTCAGTAAGAAGTTGTCTGATTCTAGGAGATGTTATTCAACTTATGACCTAGAGTTCTACGCTTTGGTAAGATCTATTCACCATTGGCAACGCTATTTAGCTTACTGAGAGTTTGTGGTTTATTCTGACCATCAAGCTTTGAGGTATTTACAATCTCAGAAAAAGCTTAATGATCGACATGTTAGGTGGAGTTCTTTGCTCTATGAATTTAATTTCTTGCTAAAGTATAAGTCTGGATAGTCTAATGTCGTGGTTGATGCCTTAAGTAGGCGATCTTTACTATTATCAATTATGAGCACTCAAGTCACAAGTTTTGAGGAACTAAAGAATCAGTATGGTTCTGATCTTTATTTCTGCAAGATAATAGCTTATTTGCAACGTTCCTCTCAAGCTGAAAAATTATCATATAGATTGCATGATGATTATTTGTTCAAAGGTAACGAATTATGCATTCCAGAAGGGTCTTTAAGGGAGCAAATTATTAGAGAACTTCATGGAAATGGTTTAGGAGGACATTTCAGTAGGGATAAGACTTTCGTAGTGGTTGCTGACCGTTACTATTGGCAAAAAATGTGAAGAGATGTGGAGAAATTAGCAAAGAGATGCCCAACTTGTTTTTTAGGCAAAATAAGTGCTCAAAACATAGGTTTATATACTCCTTTACCTAAACCAGATGCACCATGGATTCATTTGAGTATGGATTTTATTCTAGGACTTCCAAAGACAACAAAAAGATTTGATTCTATCTTTGTTGTGGTAGATCATTTCTAAAAAATGGCACACTCTATTCCATGTTCTAAAACCTCTAATGCAACTCATATTGCTGAATTATTCTTTCGAGAGGTTGTGAGACTACATGGTGTTCCAACTTCTATTGTTTCTGACAGAGACGTAAAGTTTATGAAGCATTTTTGGAGGACTTTATGGAGGAAATTTGGGATGGAATTGAAGTGTTCTAGTACCTACCACCCACAAACAGATGGTCAAATGGAAGTTGTAAATCGTAGTTTGGGAAATCTACTAAGATGCCTTATTGGGAACAAAGCTAAGTCTTGGGATTTAGTCATACCTCAAGTTGAATTTGCCTATAACAATTTTGTCAATAGAAGGGCAAAGAAGACACCTTTTGAGGCTGCTTATGGGTTAAAGCCTCAACATGTGCTGGATTTGTTCCCTTTGCCACAAGAAGCCAGAGTAAGAGATGAAGGGAAGCATTTGCTGATCACATTCAAAAAATTCATGAAGATGTTAGAGCTGTCCTAAAAGCTAGCAATGAAACATACTCTTTTTCTGCCAATTAGCATCGCCGTACGCAAGAATTTGAAAAAGCTGATCAAGTTCTTGTGCATTTGAGACCAGAACAATTTCCTAAAGGAACTTACCACAAGCTGAAATCTACGAAGTTTGGACCTTATAAGGTGTTGAGGAAAATCAGTTCAAATGCCTACTTAATTGAACTTCCACCTAAGATGCAAATTAGTCATGTCTTTAATGTTTCAGACTTGTTTCCTTTTTATGGATTCGATGGTGTTCCATCTTCTATTAAAGCTCAAATTCAATAGCTGCCACTTGCAAATGCTGATGTTATTGAAGAAGTGTTATATGTTAAGGAAATTTGATCTAGACGAGGCAACCCATATAGACGATTCTTGGTAAAGTGGCTTGGTAAACCAACAAGTGAAAGCACTTGGATTTTTGAAAAAGAGCTGAAACGAGTTGATCCAGCCATATTTGAGGAATATTTCAAGGCTTACTCTCTGAAGTCGAGTTTTTTTCTAACCCGAGGAGAATGATGCAAGAGCATCCAAGTTAAATTACGATTTTAGTTAAATTAGGAAAGAGTTTCAGATTTAGTTAAACTAGGAAAGGATTTCAGTTATTTTCTCAGTTTTGCTTTTTATTTAGGATTCCTATTTAATAAGAAATTGGGAATAGTTTTTAGTCTAGAATTAGGATTTGTCCTAACTAGTATAAATAGGACAACATAGTTAGTTTATTCTATCTTTTATTTGATTCACAGTTTTAGTTCAAAGGTTTTCTTTAAACCTAGTTATTTTCTATTGTTCCAACTACAATCACCCTATCCTAACCCTAATTGTTGAAGATTTAATTGCCCTACAACTCTTCCGCTACGTCAACTAGTGACCACCATGACCACGACTCCACGAATGATGAACGGCGAAGAGTTCTCTCATCGGCGAACGACGATAATCTAGATTAATTAAACATCATGAGCCCACGAACGACGAATGGCACTTCAATTCTTCAATCCTCAACTGCTCCACGACCACTAGTACACCGCCAGTTTAGCAAGTTAAGCTGTCAGCTAATTTCAATCTCTGATTTAGCCCATTTCTTCTTTTAATTAATTTGTTATGGGAGCTGTCAACTGTGATGTTTTTGTATATAATGTTTTAGATTCAACATTATTTCGTTTGACCCATGTGCTTAGTGCTATGTATGTTTTAGATTCATTTGTTAATACTTTTTTCGTTTGGCCCATGTGCTATGTATGGAATTTGAGCTGGCCATGTTAATTAAAAATACAAGTTTTGATGGGTGTTTTGTTTTCTGGGGTGGGTATTGACTATTGTACATGGTTCTTTTTGTTTTATTTTGTCTTTCCTTTGGGAAAGTTGCAGCTGCAGTGGCTGAACTATTGTGTACCTGGGGGTCGGGGGGTTTGTTTGGGGTTGGGGTGATGGGTTGGTGTCAATGGTGTAAAGTAGAAGAGATTGAAAAGTTTGATTGAAATCAAATGAAGTAATGGGTGTTTGTTCCTATATTCAATCAAAAGCTAGATTGATATAATTCTACTTTAGTGTAGTGTCTTTGTTAATTAATATGTTTTGTTGAATATCATAAAGATGTGTCGGAGTATTCTGTTTCATTTAATCTTCAATATATAGATTGATATAATTCTACTTTAGTGCGGTGTTTTGTTTAATCTCCAACATGTAGAATGCGTATGAATTCTCAATTCTTAATTAATCATGTGTTGCCAATGTTGAAATTGATATAATTGATCATGGAATCCATGTGTCAAATGGAACAATAGGTTGTATAGAAGTTGAATAATGTTGTGAAGCAAGACAATAATATTATCATTGATGACTAAATGGTTTGTTTTGTGTTCAATTGTGAAGTGATCATTAGTTTTGTATGCTGGTTTGATTAATTAGTTTAGTATGCTGATATATATTGTGATTGATGATTAAATTGATTGTTTTGTGTGCAATTGTGGACTGATTAGTTTAGTAATTATGTACTGGTTATGTTGTGATTGGTGCATTTTCTAAAGAATAAAGCTATTTGTACAAACTCTTTATACATAGAGAGTTTGTACAAAGTAACCTGGCACATTATGTGAGTGTCATGTGACACGAGAACTCACATAACATTAACGTGATATTAAGTTACGTGGGTCTCAATGTCATTTTTCATGTTTTGTGACATACCACATCAGTTTGTACTAACTCTCGTTATATAAGAGTTTGTATAAATACCATTAACCTTTTTTAAAAGTAGAATTGTTTGTAAGTCAATTAAGAGGTTTGAATTTCTTATAAGACATGTACTACTTGCTGCTATTTTGGCACCGAAAAAGCAAACAGTTTGAGCTTATTCACTACTTAAAAGAAGAAAGAAGATACTTGTGCATATCTTCTTCAAATAAATGGGTACCCATGTTTACTTGTTAATGCAATAGATGGAGTTTGAGTACAAAAGAAAATCGATGATGAAACCTTTCATTTATAAATTTATATGATCTTGAAACTCTTGGTAAGAGAAATGTTTGAATGAAGTTAATGAAATGTTTGATCATTATTTTGCTCCTTTCATTTATAAATTTATATGAACTTTTTATTATAATGCTGAAATTTTGATCATTATTTCTTATTATTATAATGTTGAATTGTTGATCATTATTTTTCTTTTGTTCCTTATTTAGCAGCAGGTTGAAGAAGACTTGAGATCTAGTCTAAGTCTTGAGATCTGAATTTTGAAGTTAGGGGTGTTTTAAGATGGTTGAAGAAGACCTTTTTTATTTGAGAGATACAATTGTAATTTGCAAATATTTTCATTTTTTCTGCCAATGTATTTATTAATGAGAATGGATAATTGAATGTTTTATCTTTTTATTTCATATTATGGATTCAGCATTTGAAAATGGATAATTTTACAAGATAGTCACGCAAAGAATACAACAAGAATTATATATATCTGAATTTAGGGACTTAAATGTAAAATTTACAGAATTTAGGGTTGAATTGAAATCTAGTTAACCGAACCGAATATTCGGTTTGGTTCAAATTCGGTTTATGCATTAACTGGTCTGGTTTCGATTCAACTTTTTGCTTGAACCGAATAACCGGTTCGGTTCACAATTTACCCAATCCGGTTCGATTAACCAGATTTTCCCACCCCTTTAGCTAAAGGTTGTTGTGAGATCAGAAAAAGGCTTTATTAATTCCCCCAAGTTTAAGTGTTGCGTAGAGAAAGCATTTCAGGTTATACTCAAAGCTGCTTCTGAAAGGACTTGTGCTCCTCAAAACGCTAGAGATTGACACAAAAATGTCTTCATCCCCTTTAATTTGCTTCCTTAAGTTACTGTTCTATGAAATCTCTAGCTGGTTTGCTAAATATTACGTACAGATACAATGTCATTAAGAAAATGTTTCCAGTTTAACTGTGTATTAATTTTTGCTACCTACTGTCTCCTATTATGTCCTTCACTCCTAGTCTGTATTGAATTAATTATCGCAAATCAAACAGTGTTTATTCTAAGAATAATCTTATCAATATTTTGTGAAATTTTACTTGCAAAAGGTCTCTTAAATAGTTTATACAAAAATAAAGGAGTTAAATGTAATTATGTGAATTCTCTCCTGGGTCAACAAGATTGTCAAACCAAACACGGGAAAATCATAACCAATAACAAATATGTGCCTGTTACCAAACAGTCCAAATTTCAACAGTGTCTTCTCTAGGGCTTCAAGCCCCTTCCCTATAAATAACAACTTTATGTTGCGAACTGAAGAACTGTCTTAGTCTCTCCTCTTAGTCTCTCACGATTTGTTAATGAGTTTGTCTTTGATTTGTATGTAACTACGAAAATGAGGAAAGTAAAGCATGAGTGATGATTAATTTCATCTGATCAAAATCATCTCATTTCGCTACGTTCTTTCTGATTCATGTCTTTGATTACCATTTAGTTCCATTCTTTACTTTTGTTAGTTGGGTTTGTTTGATTTTGGAGAGTTTATACCAGCAAGATGATGAAAATCAGAAAATCTTAGGACACCTTCTGACACAGTTCCACCTACTGTGTATGAGAAAGATTTTCATTTCTGATACTTGATGTATTTTCTCCTTTCCTTTTCTGGGTTTTTAAATTTCATTTTGAAATTTGCTATTTCTGCATTAAATTTTTGTTAATCAAACGCAGAAGTACTAACGTAAACGACACATTGTCGCGGTAACATATCTGTTGTTACTGTTACAATCTTTGGTCCCTGTACGTTACTGGAAGGGGTGCAGGTAATTCCGATAATGTTTCAATGCATTTTGACGCTCACAAGGTGCTTGATAAAATTCCTACTTAATAATATTAATATTGTTTTTATAAAATGCACTTTTGGTTTTGAGCAAAATCGATATTTCCTATAGAATTTAAAATTGCTTCATATATAAATGATTTTCGGTAAAAAATAAAAAAGAGAAAATCCCATGCCAATGCCTGAATAGCTAATTTTGATACAGAACTTGTGGAAGACTGTTGAACTGAAGGATTGACCTACGTCACTTGGTGTTGAAAAGAAAGATTCATTTGTTTGAACATTGCTTCTTTTGGAGATGGTACTATACAAAGGAAAATGATAGAGTTACCGAAAAGTGTAGTAACAAAATCTTGATCATTGATTAATATTAACTTATAATGAATTAATGGTTAGGATTTTGTTACGTTATTCGGTGTACAAATTCGGTACACATCCGTTGGTAACGGTAGCATTACTCCTATATAAGTTACAATAATTTTAACCTCACGAATATTTCTCATTAATTCTTGTGGCAGTTCGTAATTGGTTTGGTAGATCTATTGTTCGATAGGTGAGACTCAAGCAAGCTAAGCAATTGTGAATTAGTTTGATAGATCTATTGTTGGATAGGTGAGACTCAAATAAGCTAATCAATTGTGAACTGATATAAGAGAAAGTTAGTGAGACTTTATAAATTATGAGAATACAAATCGTATAATTCATGAATTTTATGCAGATGAAGAAAAGCTAAACCGTTTTGGGATTGTAATTGGGATACTTTCCCTTGATGACCTTGACTAATTAATATGAAAATACTTATTTGGTTAAGATAGAACTATAGAACCGTGTTTTAAAACCGCGTGAAACCTGACAAAGTAGCTAGGTCCAAGGTACTGGTTTGATTGACAGGTCCAACCAATGTCTAAAAGTTTGAAATTTAACAAAAATGCCTTTGAAAATTAATAAGTTTTTATAAGTTTAAAATTTTGTAAAAACACTCCAAACACCACAATCGGCGTCGACAAATAGGACTTGTTTTTTATGACGACAACACTCTCCATCATCACGAAAACACTCCCCTTCGCCTTTTGACCAAAACTCATCTCACTCCTCCCCCGTTTGCCTCCCCAATCGTCGACAACAAGAAGTTTTTTTTAACGACATAGTTTTGAGATTTTCGGTTGATTCACTCATCAGAAATCACCATCGTTGCCACCATTACACTCACCATTCATTCCTCTTCAAAAGCTCTAACATTCCAACCTTCAATTGTTTATGGAGTGATATCCTAATTTCTAAGGTTTTCAATGAATAAGAAAATTAGTAAGTCGACTTGGTAAAGGCTTCGGTCCAGATTGAACTGGTTCAATCAGCTAAGCTAGGTCAAGTTTTAAAACACTAGATAGAATTGTATACAACATTAGCTGCCTTCTCTAAAACAAAAATATACTTTCAGTAAACTGATCAAACATGTAATCTTTATAATGATGAGCTGCATACACTAAAATATATAGTGCATAAAAAATACAATTGCTTCGAGTAGAAACATCCGATATAATTCAAGGATTTCATAATACAACTATTCTGTGTTGCAGAACAAACAAAAGACCATAGAAATCTTTATATATTATTGCAGTATATCAAATGAAGGATGGCTGCCATTCAAGTGTATTGCCTGCAAACATTGGAACGACATCTCCAAATGAAAATGAGAAAGCCTCAGGTACCTTCCACGAAGTTTTGCTCAATTTAATCTTTGTTGTGTTTCTTGGAAGCCCATAGAAGTCTGGTCCATTGAAACTTGTAAATGCCTCTAGCTTGTCAAGTGCACCCATCTAAAACAAGCAAAAACCATTTCAATCATCGACAACCGTGAGAAAATAAAAGCGAAATGCAATAGTATATACTAAGTATGAACATACTGAATCAATTTTAAGAAAATTTATTGTGAAATTTAGTAACTTAAAAAGATATTAATACCTTTTATTCAAAAAAGAAAACAAGTCGATATCATAAAAACATTTGGTAAGGATTACGTAATGAAAAAAGCTATACCTCTTCAAAAACCTTGGCATACAGTGACAATGCAACAGGGGCATTGTAAATACCAGCACATCCACAAGGACATTCTTTTTTCCTCCTCTCGTGAGGCGCACTATCAGTTCCAAGGAAAAATCTTTTACTTCCACTGGTCACAGCTGAAACGATAGCTTGTCCTAGATGGGAATCAAGAGCATGAGATCAAGGAGAAGAAATTGAAAAGGAAACAGGAAACTGATACATTCTCATACTATGCAAGAATTTATTATTCACAAACAAAGGAAGTGTACAGAATGATAATTCACCAGCCATCTTCTTTTCAGAAAAAGATTATATTTCTATTCAAAAGATGATACAAAATAGTTGGATAAACCAGTGATCATGTAGGAGATTTACAAATTAGTAAGGAAAAAAAATAAAAAATATGTGCAGAATAATTCCTATACATGATTCAGAGCTAATGTTAGTGTAATTCGTCTCCTAATTATTAACCAGCCATTAACCCATAGTACTCTGACATGGACAACCCAAAATGATATTTCACTATCAAGTTCATGTGTCAAGCAGTTGTTATTTCTGTCACTGAAACAAATTCTATCAGTACACATTGTTCTGATAACACCATGGCTGCCACCTCAGGAACACCAAAAAGATTGAAACAAGTGTGTTTGCCATTTACAATGAAACTAGGTAAACTTAAGCTGTCATAACTTTATTGTGACTTGATGGAATCTAAATCACTACACCAAAAAGTTCATTGCCCAGCAAAAGAAAACAATATATGATAAAAAGAAACTATATGGTCACTGATGCATTTATAAGAAATTGAATTAACTTGCATAGGAGACGCCAAATGGAACATACTATGTATCTCTCTTTTGAGTACTGGAAGGCAGTAATTGTGTGGCTGCAGTCCTCCTTGAAAGATAGCATTTCTATTGAGAAGAAGATGCTGAGGAGTAACAGTGGCTGCTACAGAACCTGAGAAATATAGTGAGGTGTGATGATTTTCTAGATCTAAAAAAGGCCATCAGGTGAAGGGGCATTTTCTTTAACCCAAATAAAGGAAAAAAAAAAAAAAAAAAAAAAGGAAAAGAAAGGTTGTAGACAAAACTTTTCAATGAAAATGAATTTGTGTACCCTCTTTGCAAGATTCAACAAACTTAACAGCATCCATAGTAGTTATGTGCTCCATCACAACCTTTAGCTGTGGAAGCCTTTTGATCAGAGGTTGTAAAATAGTGTCAATGAAGACCTTCTCACGATCAAATACGTCTACATTAGGATCTGTAACCTCTCCATGAACCTACAAATAGAATATGATATGCAAATGGAAGTTCATGTGGAAAACAACATCTTCTCCAAATGGGTAAAGAAAAGAAAGGGGAAAACACCAAACACAATAATACAAATACATGTCATGCTTGCATCAAGCACTCTACCAATTTATGTTTTAAGGAGAAGCTCAAGCCTCAAACTTCACAAGATAGGGGGTTAAGCAACAAACTATAGTTTGACTTTTACAGTTTTGACATTTTAACTAGAGTCCTTTTGTCTGAAAAATAAACATATTAAGGTTTTAAAGATGGGAAAGTTAATGAGAACTCTCCATCATGTTCTTATTTGTTTTCCTTGTTTCTAAGTCTTGCATCAAAACATAGCATATAGAACTACAAACCAAAACTGACAGAATCCAAGCCAAACAGTCAATAAGCTACACCAAAAAGAAAAATAGACCAATTCTCAGCCTTCTATTCGGACAAGCAATACCACAAATAAAACATATTAAAATTTATGCCTATTGAACTCTCTAAGATGGAGTCTTAGCCTGTACTCGAATACATATAGACAAAGGAGCCAAGTCAAGATTAGCTTGATATGGCAAAATTACCAACAATGGCATATTCTGCTCAGCCATCTCCTCAAGGACAGGTAGACATTTCCCAAATAGATCCGTAACACCATCTTGAGAATTAGTTGTAGCACCAGCAGGATACAACTTCACAGCAAATACAACCCCACTTCTCCCTGTTGAAGTGATCCACAACATCACTCAAACTGTAAGATTTATTTACACCCTAGAGATGAAGGGAGAAACAACTATCATGAAGCATTAATTGTATCAGAAAGCCTCTACATTACAATAACAGGTACGTATCCCTAAGCATCATCCTTGTAATGATAATTAGAAGTTTGTCCTCAACCATTGAGTTTTAAGAGATCCAGAATAAAACAAACTCAAACTGCCAACTTCAAAGGTTTTTTACATGTTAATTATGCACGGCGTTTTCACAGTCTAGAAGTGAGATTGAATTAGGAGAAAATAATTTCATAATTCTTCTTAAGCTACAAGATAATAAGAGGGCACTATCCTATCAATTTTCAACTTCAAAGCCAAGAAAAATTAAGAGAGAATATCAATTAATGCAAATAGCCTTAAAATACTTGTATCTAATCCACATTTGAGTTGAACTAAAAAATGAGTNTATTTTTATTGATGAGTATTGAGTAATGTATAATTGAATACTTTATGTTTTGATTTCATATTCTGGATTCAGCATTTGCAAATAGTTAATTTAATGTGTTTTTCACATAAAAAATATAACAACAATATCCAAATAAAATAAAAATACTGCATGAAATTATATATAAAATAATAAATATCTGAATTTAGTGACTTAAATGTATAAAATGTTGAATTTAGGGGTGAATTCAAAAATTGGTTTGAAAACCGGTTAATTAGATAATTGAACCAAATATTCGGTTTAGTTTAAATTCGGTTTATTCCATAAACTGATCTGGTTTCTGTTTACCTTTTTGCCTAAACCGAAAACCGAACTGGTTATAAAGAAAAATCCAGTTCGGTTAACTGAATAATCTCACTGGTGGTGATTCCTGAAATTTCAATCGCACAGCATGGGTTCCCCTGATTTGGGAATCAGATCGACACTTTATATTATCAGTTTTAGGTAGGAATCGTAATTGACACCCCATATATCTTTCGATTTTGGTTTTATCTTAAAAATTTGCTCATCCCTAGTTTTAGGCTTATAAAGAATTAAAACACGAATTTTAAAGGGACGATAATTTTCACATATATCAATATATATTCATAAAGGGCCACACTATTTTAACACTACTTAACTTACAATGAGACAAATTAATAAACCACCCTTCACTTTAATGTAATCCAATGGTACGAATTGGAGTCTTTGTTGGTTGAGTAATATAGTAAAAGATCGTAAATTGAATTTCTCTTAAAATAGGGAAATAATATAGTGTGGATAATATGCAATGTCTTTTTGTTCAAGTTTCTTCAACCATTATGTTAGGATAAGTTGGAAAGTGGTTAATTTGTGTCTCTTTTTAAGTTAAGAATTTGTGTTATAATAGCATAACTCATCTATTATTTATCAATAAATACTATATAAAATGGGACTTAGATGTCTGCTTGGAAAATACCTTTTTCAATAGGCATAAAAACAATTTTTAACATTAATTAACTACTAATAGAACCGTTTTTATAAATTTGGAAATTCGACGTGGATTAGAATCGAATAGGAAGTAAGCCATCAATTTCCGATCGCTTGAAGATCCATCACTTATTTAGTAGACTCTAATGTTCTCAATCAATTATTTTGTCGCTGCCCACTTCCTTACATGAAGAATTGCTTTCTCTGCCTGCAATTCCCATAAAATGAAGATTAGCTAAATTTAGTTTTACTTGTTGAAACTGAGTTTATAGTTGATAATTAATAACAAAAGAATAATTAAAATAAAATCTCAAGCTAACATAGTTATATGATCAATAATGTCGTTTCCAGAGCTGTTTCAACCATGCATATTTTTGAGCCACTGGTGCTCTCTTCGCCAATTGTCAAGTGAACTTAGATTCACAAAGGTCGAAATTTGGGTGAGTAAATTTTATTTCTTATAATGGAGAAGCACTACAGTAACTCAGGGCTCTTTGTTTACCTCTTTATGCCAGTCGCATCTTAAAGTAATTACTGCCAATATCAAGGTTTGAACTGCTGTCCCACCGAAAATCATTCCAGCCCAAATTCCCTGTTTGTGTTCAATTTCATTGAGTTTGCAAAGTCAGCAACGTAATAGCAACGTAATTCTATATTATATACATACCAAATACTTAAACGTTATATTACCACATTTAAAATACTTCTGCACTAGTACATATAAACACCTCCCGAATTTATTTCTCGCTTGAACAATATAATGATACGTGAATAAACATGCTTGAACTCATATAAGCATGACTTGACTCAAGTGTTAGCATATGATATTTCGTAGATTTCACATTCCTTTTTGTACTCTTTATAAATTGTTCTGTCTATTTTTTTATTATGAAAAAATAATAATAAAGCAAACCGGCACCAAAATGAAAACTTACATACCATAACACCATAGTGGAAGCCCCATCCCATTAAAACCCCAAGGGGAACCCCAACAAGATAATAGCAGCCCAAGTTTATGTAAGCTACAGAAGATTGCCATCCTGATCCCACAGCCACCCCTATAAGAATAAATCACATAAAAACTATGGTGACTTTTCCATTACATAGGTTAAAAATGATCTTGTATAATTTAATCTAACGAAAATAGATTAATTATCTAATAACCTGAGAGAACTGGCTGAACACTATTGAGCAGAATAGTGACTGCTAGCAGAACAGATAGCTTGCTTACTTCATTTAAAACAGGGGCACTGGAAGAGAATATCAATGCAAGCTTATTGTGGAAGATGATTATCAATAACCAAAAGAAGAGGCCAATGATAATTGATGTTATTACTGACACTGCTGTGGCAAACTTGGCTCCTTTTCCATTACCAGCCCCAAGCTCGTTTGCTACTCGAACTCTGTATTATTTCATGAAAAAAACATTAATCCCGTCTTACATAATCAATAATTTTGAAGGGAATTATAAAGTATCTAATATGTCTTTTACTAAAATAAAACTCAGATTATTGGACTATATATGTAAAAATCCGTTTTAATAAAATGTGACCTTTCAAGTTAAATCCATTTGATTAAATCCAAATTAAACGACAATTAATATACAATGTGGATCAGTGTGTTGTGTTGTAAACCACACATCCAAACAATAAGGCTTCCTCTTCATGCTTGTAAAACAAGATATTTTTGGCAAAACTCAAGATAAGCAACAGTGATATGCTGATTAAAAGATTATAAGTTTGTACTTATCCTTTCCCGTTCAATGAACTGGAAAAATAAATAACTAGCTGACGACACTATGAAGAGCATCTAAGAATTGTTTTACAAGAAAAGGAACAAGAGATCTTAAGGAGAAAGCTTTTTCACTTTCAATCGGTGGGCATAAATAGCTAATGTACAAAACTTAGATCCTAAAGTTTAGGATCCAGAATAAAAAATTTAGGAAAGCAGTAATTATCAAACAAATAATTACCCTTTGGTTATCTAGATCATATTTTGTGCATTGGATGGCATCTGAATTATTTATGTGTGCATGTCTCAGTTTCTGGTTTCTTTACCCTTTGGATTCTAAATGATCTAAAGCATATACTTTATTTTGACTAAGCATCAAAAGAATTACTCAACACAAGTACCCATTTCAATATTTTAGAAATTATAATATATTTTCGTATTTTTGTTTTAAAATTTTATTGATGAAAACACATACGTATATTTTATTTATATCGAATAATAAAACGGAAAAGTTAATTTTTTTAAAAATAAAATAAAGTGTGCTGAAACAATAAATTTTCCTTTAAATAACCGGAAAATTTATTGGATTAGATACTTTAGCTACCAAATCTGAACACGTCGAAATTCTTGGTTGATTCATTGTGGGGTTCAGATGTCCCTAACTATAGTACACATTTTAGCATTTGAATTTTAAGGATCGTGACATGCGTGTAATATCTAAATGATTAAGACAAAAGAATAATATCAAATTTTTTTGTTACGTTTGAATGCTAACCATGATTCATGAACCTGGACAATTTAAACTAATATTATCCGAATTAGAAATCACTAATTTAAGACATGAAATGATATCATCAATAAGGACAATTGAATTTATTTAAAATTATTATCATTAATATTATTTATTAGCTGTATGCGGATTATAGGTCTTAAAAAAAAATTAATAAAAAGGAAACGAGAAGTGTTACCCGGTTGCAGCGAAGAATGCTAAAGGAATCATCATCTCCCAGCCATTTATATTCATGCTGCCAAATTAGATAAACAACTGATATCAGTCAACAGATAAAAAAAAAAAGCCAAAAGTTCTTCGAAATAAAAATTTACGTGCACATGCGAAAAACGGAATCACAAACAAAACAAATAAAACATTTTCCTACGAAAGTGAAAGCCTGAAGGATACAATTATTTTAAGGTAAAATTTCATGTAAATAAATGTATAAGATAACAATGAAAAGGGTCCACAGCATATTAATGAGTATAAGACAAATACCATATGGACAAAGCATCCACTGCAATCTCTGCGTTTGGTAGATTTCCAGTCATCACTATCAATATTTTGTAATACCAATTTTCTAAGCTGTAATATAAAATAATAAAAAGATAATGATAAGTTTCAGAAAAGATGCAAAACAATGTGGCAGTTTATTAGAAACGGGTCAAATTTTTCGTGGAAATAAACAAAAATTCTCCTCTTATCTACTTTTTTTTTCCTCACGTAAAATACAAATTTATGATTAATAAATAATAATAAATAAATCTCAATCAAACAAATTTATTAATATACAATCGTCATAAGATATGTACAAACTCAAACACGAGTTTCTTGAACTTGTATATATCTCATTAGTATATTGTGTAATTGAGATTTATTTATTTATTTATTAATAATCAATTATAAAATTTATATATTTTCTTACGTAAAAAAAATGAAGAAGAAAAGATCGGACAAGATCGTGGCACAGGGAAAGAGTGGTACCAGAGCATGACACCCGAAGCCGCAGAGAGTTTAACAAATTCCCAAAGACCAGAAAATGCTTCAACTGAGAAACCAGTCCATGTATCGGGACACCCACCAGAAGAAACATAACCAAAGTAACCAAACACCAAAACCCACCAAGAAAAATTCAAAGTAACAGCAGCCCCAACTACACCAAGCTGCAACCTGTATACAAACAACCAACTCACAAAAATATGCACCACTAGAGCAGCCAAAGCCACCCATGCAATCACATAAGTCTTAAGCTGGCTTTGCAAGAATCTCTGTAATGGAAACTGAAAGGCGAAGCTGAAATGAAGTGGTATCATCCACAAAGTAACTATCCCAGTTAGCTCTGCCACTTCTGTGGGCTGACCTAATAGCTTCAAGAATGGTGAGGCAAAAAAATACAATGGCAAAAGAAGAATACAACACAAGAAAAGCACGATCCACGAGCGTTGCATGTACACACCCAACATGTAGTATTGTTTGGCCCCAAAAGCTTGTCCACACAGCGTTTCTAATGCACTTGCCATTCCCAACTGATAAAGGAAATCAATACAAATAAAGTACAACGATTGAAGTTATTGAACTGAAAATTAAGAAACGAAAACTTTGTATGATGAGATTGAGAAAGTACCAAGAGACCAAAATCAAAACCAACGACGACATTATTGGCAATAGATATTGCAGCAAGCTCAAGATCACCCAAATGACCAGCAAACGCTTGGGTGACGACCAGCATAGTGTAGGAGGCAACGCGGCCCACGATTGATGGACCAACTATATACCAAAGCTTCTTTGACTCAATCCAAAACCTTTTTCTAAAATTTTGATCTTGATCATCTTGCGGTCGGATGAGTGAGGATGAATCTTCTAATAAAGGAACCTTTGATTCTTCTGATGCACCGTCACCAAGCATGTTTTAGAGGTCTTTCTTATCTTTAGGCTTTTTCTTGGGATTTCAAAGAACCGAGAGTGGTTATGTTAGCTTAAGACTTGTATTTATGAAAGATTCTAATGTGATTGAATAGAGTTTCGTTTTAGCCGGATCTTGTCCTCATAGAATCTAGACCGACCTAAGTGGGGATGTTTTTTTCACTCTTGCCCAAAGCATGGTGGTTTCGTTACTAAGGGTAGATTTGGTGCACAACTTTATATAGTATAAAGAGAAGCATATAATACTAAATAATATTATAAACTATAATTTGGTACAAAGTTTGTATTGTGTTAGCTAGTGTAATGTACAAGTCCTATATATATACATCTTCAATCTTTTACTAATTAACACCAAATTAAAGAGTTGTATTAATTAATACCAAGTAAAAATGGTGAATTAAAGGATGTATTGTATTACTTTTATTTGCTTTGAAATTTTTTATAAGTTAATTAATTACTTTAAAATGTATAGATAATTATTAATTTAAAATAACGTGATAAAAATATATATATTTTTTTTCAATATTGTTAGTGCTAATAAACGATACTTTATTATTATTTGCAAATTTCATAATGACTGATATAAATTTAGGTAACGGTAAAAAGAATTAATTTTTTAAATGAATAATTAAATTTCAAGGAATATTTGTTAAAAATTTAAAGATAAATTAATATAATACAATGAATTAGAGGTGGGCAAGGCCTGGGCCCAGTTGGTCCCAAGCTTGGGCCCACAAGAACCAGGCCCAAATCCTCAAGGAACGGTCTTGGGCCCATGAATTTTGTTAGGGTCTGAACCGGTCCCAAGACCGGTCTTATGGGCCTGGAAAATATTAATTTAGCTCCCTAATTTTTTATATACTTGGAGGTAAATAGATATTTATGTAAGAGGGTTTATGTAATTCATCAGGGGTGATTTGTAAAATTTAATTTAATTAGTAAATAAATATAAATGAATGATTTTAATTTAGAGAGATAATTTAATCTTATCTTCGCAATGTTAAAATTTAATTTAAACTTAAACAATTAAAAAAAATATAAATTCATGGTTATAAATTTATATAATTTAATTTTAGCCTAATGTTCTTAATGTGCAAATTTAATTTAAACTTAAACAATTAAATAAATTTGTTTTTATTTAATTATAAATTACATATTCGAAATTAACATCGTCGAAATTTGTGTTTTGGAAGAGGTTGAGTAGTTCGGGATTTTGAAGGTGGTATTTTAGTCTTCTGTCTTTATGAATCCAATCTCATAAACATGTAATGACGACATCCATCTCATTGGTGAATGAACATCTTCTGTCTTCAATAATGCAGCCACTAATTGAAAATGCTGACTCGGATGCAATTATGGAAACTAGCACACAAAAAATGTCATGTGCCATTTGGGCAATAATTAATTTACGATTGATTTGTAGTATTTAACGATGACTTAAAAATAAACATGGAAGGTCTTTTAAGCATGGGAGGATACGATGTACTTCTAGAAAATTATTTATTTATCTAATCTTTTGATATTCTATCCATTTATGATTTATTATTGCAAATAAATATCAAATCTCCTATACTTATATATGAGTGACTATTAATAAAGAATTATACTATACATACAACATTTTTATACAACATGATGGGGCAAAAGATGATTGGTGAAAGTTTATTTTTAATTTAAAATCAGCCAATCATCTTTTGCAAAATCATATTGTATGAGAAATGTTGTGTGTGTAGTATTATGCATATAATTTTACCTTTCAATGAATTTATTTAAAAGGACAAATAAAGTATATCAAAATGTATATATTAACTTTTAACTGATCTCATAATTTGGGGAATCTATTATGATAAAATAATAAATAACTAAAATGGATGAAATTTGTTGGGTATGATTTTTCCATCAAGCTCGGAGAAGTCAGAATTCTACGAGGTTATCGTCTGACCTAGAATCAGTTCGGCCCAAACGATTGTCCGACCCAACATAAGCTTGTCGAGACATAGCTTGACCCAGCATAAGCTAGTCGTGACCAATCTTGACAGTTGTTCAAGCATATCACAAATAAGCTCAAATCCCAGATATTTTGGAAGGGATCAGATCAACAGCAGTAATGGCGTGATCTCGGCGCTCAATCGCGAGAATATAGGAGTTGCATTTCAATCTTAATTGTAATTCTTTTAATTTCGCTCTTTCTTTTGTACAAAACTTGTATAGAAACCCCTCCAACAATGGAAAAGGGGTTAGCAAATTACTCTAGGAATTATAGCATTTTCTTGTAAGCTCTAAAAGCAAATAAGAAAGACACTGGACGTAGGCTTAAGATCCAAACTTGTCAATCCACTTTAAAAACCTTTTGTGTCATTTACTTTATTGCTTTTATATTCACACTTTGCTAGTTATCATTAATCACGCACACACCTGTTCTGATTCCACCATGGTCAATCGGATTGCTCTAGTTGGTGGAAATTTTGCATCAACATTTTGGCGCTAGAAGGAGGGCCCTTGCCTACTTTCAAAATTTCCGACAAACAATCTCAGTGACTCGATCACTCGAGGCTTACAATGGTTCGTACCAGATTAAAAACCATTACCAGAAACCATGACAATGTGGAAGCCACCAACCAGGAGATACATTAAGATGTCGTTAGGCGTCGACCACCAGTGTCGCCAGTGCAGCAGGCCGCGAATCAGCAAAAGGTAGAGACGTCAAATTCTGAGAATGGTAAGCTAGTGGAAATGATAAGAACAATAGTTGCACAGGCGGTGCAACAGAACATGGTTGAAATAAGATATTAGCAACTAGCCCCCTAGGACCTCGACCAGTCACGCTTCACAGATGTTACCCCAACAGGTAAGAATTCAGCGGGCGACCAATCTAGTTCGTCGGCACCAAGGAGTGACTGACACCCCAGACACCATAGGGAACATTTCGCTAAAAAACGTGAGTCCTGCAAGTAAACGAACCCTGGGAGGTGACTAGACAAACAACCCATGGGGGAGAATGAAGGCAATGGTTGCCCAAAGGATGCTCGACCTACTCGACAATATCCCCAACGCCAGCGTGCCAGTTTTAACCCACACCAAAGGCAGGCTCAAACCTTGCAAGCTTGCGAGATGAGTTAGACGTGCCAATCTAGCAATGACCAACGTTTCGGTTTTAAGTAACATCGCGAGTAGTGCATTGATGAAAATGATAGCATCTACCAACCAGCCATCATGACTATACTTTGCACATTAGTGTGCACGATAGGGGAGGTTCACAAGCAACTAATCTCTGAACTCACTTGCTCGAGGTAAGGTTGAATATAGCTCGCAGCCATAGTACTCCTCAAGATGAAGACTTAGATCGGGTGCAAAAAAATGCTCAATAATCTAAGAGCCTACCAAAACAATGTAGTAGAAGAGATAGTAAGTTCTCCGTTCATGGAGGAAGTTCATTAGGCCCTGCTCCCCCAAGGATTCAGGGCACTAGAGAGTAAGTTCGATGCGAAAGGAGATCCCAGAGACCACCTCGACTCTTTTAATGATCTGATAGAGCTACATCAGGCCTATGACTTGGCAAAGTGTCGTTGTTTCGTAGTCACTTTAGTAGGGGATGCCAAGAGGTGGTACAAGAGGCTCAAGGTGAACTCAATACAGTCTTGATAACAGTTCTCCTCATTATACCTACAACAATTCCAAGTGAGGAGACAATTCGCAATGTCATTCAGCTATTTGAGCAAAATTCATTAGGAAAGAGACGAAACTCTAATCTTATATTTAATGAGGTTCCAGAATGAACAAGCGAAGGTCATAGATGCACCTGAAGAGTCGATCCGAACTTTACTAATAGCAGGAATAAGGTCGTAGACGGAGCTGTGGAAAGAGCTCTAAAGCGAAGACCATGTGAGCCTGGCCAAGTTCTATCAGATGGTCGCCAAACATCAGTGAGTAGAAAGGTCAATGGCGGCCTTAGCTAGAAGCTCACCTAGAAGAGTCCTGATAGGCAACAAGATCGCCCCATAGATAAACGGAGGGGCCCAAGACCACAATTATAAGGACTTAAGTAGGTTCCAAAAGATGGAAAGAACAGAAAACCGCGGGGAAAGACAACCTTTTTTGTGGTTTACAGAGTACAGCCCCTTGACTCAAGATATAGCTCACATCTATGAGATCCCTATGAGGCTAAGAAATTGTCTATGTCAGAAAGGATGAGGGGGGCACCTGGTAGAAGAGATCACCAAAAATACTATCGATACGACTGAGATATTGGGCGTAACACTAATCAGTGTCGGGCTCTAAAGGATACCATTGAAGATCTGATCAGATGAGGCCACTTGAAAGAATTTGTCAAGGAGGCGCTAGCTCACAAAAATCCAAGCAAGCAGAATAATCAAATCCAATAAGCTCTGGCAAACAACGAGGTACTAGTGGGCATGATCTATGAGGGACCCAACATTGCAGGGAGCTCTAGGCATTCTCACAAATAAGATACATGAGAAGTCATCCCAAGCTCAGTCCCCCGAGTAATAAGTTATGAGCAAAAGCTGCCAAAGTGGCCCAAGCAAGAAAACGAGGTGATAGGATTCACCCAGGAAGAGTGTGAAAAATCTTCTTGCCATAACCATGATGCGATTGTACTCGCAGCAAGGATTGGCAATGCCCGAAAACTCAGGGTAATGGTCGACAATGGCAGTGTGTAGTGAACATCATTTTCTTGGGAGCTTTCCTAGAAATAAGGTTCACCGAATGAGACTTGAGGGCATGTATGTCACCGCTGTATGGATTCACCAAGGATAGCTTAGTCCCCAAGGGAACAATCGACTTGCCCGTGACTCTTAGGGAAGAACTTAAGATCAAGATAATGATGGTCGAGTTCTTACTGGTCGACTGCCCGATCACCTATAATGTCATTGTCAAGAGGCTAATCTTGGACGACCTGAGCGCAGTCACCTTGGTGCGCTACCAACCAATGAGTTTCCCAACTCTTGGCGGTGTCACAACAATCAGAAGTTGTAGGAAAGATTCTCAAGAATGTTACAATTGGGCCATTTATGCTGCATAAAATAGCTGCTTCCAAGAACCATGGTTATTGCTAAGTCCGAGCCAAAGCCCGGACCACTGAAAGATACCATAGAACCTCACATCCACAAAGAAGAGCCCACC